TGCTCGTGGATCGCCGTTGGCATTGCATTTATATAGAATTGCACATTGGAATTTTCATTTCTTTTTCAAAATTTTTTTCTCTCCTTCTTTTTATTTTCCGATCGTAGGTCGCAGATGCGGTGCGTTGGACAAGCCTCGCATTCGGCTTTTATTCGGAAATTAAACGTCGGGCATTCTTTTTTTAACGAGCGCTTTGCTATTCTAATTTCACGTATAAATCTCGTTGCGCCACAGAGAGTTCTATGTTTAAGGCTATCGTGTATGTGGGTGTACGCGTTCATCTGTAATGTACCTACACATCTAAGATGTATATATTTTTTACGTATACATATATATAATATATATATATAAAAGTGTATATATATTTTTTTTTTTATATATATATTATATATATGTATACGTAAAGAATATATATACCTTAGATGTGTAGGTATATTACAGATGAACGCGTACACCCACATTATACACGGTAGCCTTTAACACAGAACTCTGTGTGTGTGTGTGTATATATATATATATATATATATATATACACATATATATGTACCTTTTTAAAGCTTGGGAAACTTGGGGGAAGATAAATGTGATGTAATGACGGCGCCTGTCGGAAGGGAAGATGCAAGAAAAAGGTGATGGACGAATTAAGGGCAGACATCGATACCTTTCACTCTGCGAACATCCGGCGGGTTTGTAGGCGAGTCTTCCGTCGATCGATCGATCGACCCTCATCACGAAATAATGAGCGGTCACATGAGCCGGTAAATAATCGCTGTGCGCGTAATTTCTTCTTTCAGCCTCTCTCTCTCTCTCTCTTTTTCTTTTCGAATAAATTGTATTGTATATAATAGAATTTTTTTCGTTTAATTGAATTCAAGTTATTCAGTTTTACACGTTTTCCTGTCAATGACAGTTAGATTAGACTTTTGAATAAGATATATTATCTTCCACGTGTCACTAATAAGAAGTATTTCAAGTTCAACAATAATGTAAGTAGCATGTAAAAACAAAAATGCATATATTGCTGACAAATTGTAATATTAGTTTTATCATCACAATTTCAAAATATCCTGCCTATCTATTTTTTTAAGATATATTATCTTCCACGTGTCACTAATAAGAAGTATTTCAAGTTCAACAATAATGTAAGTAGCATGTAAAAACAAAAATACATATATTGCTGACAAATTATAATATTAGTTTTATCATCACAATTTCAAAATATCCTGCCTATCTATTTTTTTTTATCATACCACTCAATTGGATTGGGTCAATTTTGAAATATCAGCAATTTAAGTAATAAAAAACAATTGTTGTATAACATACATATATAGAACTGCATTAGCGTTATCAGTAACTTCTGTTGTGAAAATGGTAAACATCCTAATCGAAATGAGATCGTGTTTCTAATACTGTAACCCAATAAGGGGATAAATGAAATGGAATGAATAAATTATTTAACGTACGTGAATTTCATTGGTAATGATCAATTAGCGAGAAATGGAACATAAATTGTTTCCAGGAAATATCGTGCCTTACTCGGAATTATAAATATTACTACTATTTCAAAGAGCATCTAAAAGGTGTTATAGTAGTTACCGTTTAATCATTGCTAGCTATAATTATCTAAATTTTTAAAATAAAATCATCGGATTGCGCTGATTAATTGTTTTCTGCAAATTGGATTTGTTGAACCATGAAACTCTGTGGCAATATTTTTGATAGTTTTCAAAATGTGTCAGAACAGAGGAAGAAAAAGTAGGAAGAATCGCAACACAGATATCGTAAGCCTAAACGAGGCTGCGGAATGAAAATAATTGCAACACAGCTAGAATAGTTTTACTGGTTCAAATTGCTTTCATTGCACTATACGCGCGGTCACCGGTCACGTAATTTGGATATATCCAAGGGAAAATTGATTTCCCTCGAAGGCGATATGCTGTGCGCTGTTACCAGGACACAGCTTTGGAGTTTGGACACACCCGGCGGAATTGCGTCGATTCGTGTATTCTAATATTCCGTTGTTGTCGCAAGCAAGTTGCTCACCGTATTATTCACCCACGTTGTATCGCGATGCATTTGTATGTACGAGAATACGCTATTCCCTTTTTGCGCCATTTGCAACGAATTATAGTGTAATACTCGAGAAAAGACTTGCATCGCTCAGACTCTCTTGCGTGCGACCGTGCCATTTCTCGCGGTCGCGTCTTCGTAATGTACTTTTCCCCGTAACTCTCTTTACAACGACCGGAGTTTAATCGCTGGTGTACGCTTACCGACACAATCATTTGTGGTGTAATTTCTCTTTTGTACATTTACGTAGTATTTTCGAAGTAACTCATTGATAAGCTTTTCCTTTAAATATATTATTCCTCGCAATCTAAAATGTATTACAATATTTACAATTGTAGAAAGATAGATAGAAAGATAGGGTACAGTGTTTTAATTTAATTAAATATAATTATTTAAAGGGCACGCGATAAAGGTATGAATGGTAAGATCACATTATAGATAGATCATATTATAGGGTGCTTTCCAGCAAGAGACACAGTGTGACACAGTTATCATTTTATTTTTGACGGGTAAACAACAAGGATGTTATGATTTACTGTTATATTGTCATCTGTGTCTCTTTCTGGAGAGCACTTCAAGTTTTCTTATTAGCTTACACACACACACACACACACACACACACACACACACACACACACACACACAAACGAGAGTATATGTATATATGCTGAAGAGAATACATTTCTAATTTTAATATTTACAATTAAAGCACACGAAAAGTATGTATGAACACATAGATGTAAAATAACGCTCGTTAAATTGCATCATAATAATAATAAAAATTAGAACAACCAAATAAGATGTTCGAAAATGTAATAATGTATTTTAGTTTAAATATCTAAAAAAAAATATGTATGACTTCGATGTCTCTACTATCTATTTTCCTTATCTTTATGCATACTTTTACAAATTATATTATACAGGGTGTTAGTTAAGTATGTTGCCATACTCAACGGAGTGATTCTTTAGTTTATTTCAAGTAAAAAAGTTGATATAAACATCTGTCCTAAACGACTTAGTTTCTGAAATAAAAAATTTAAACGTGTAGTAATAATCTGTTTATTTGAAAGAAATACAGCTTGAACTAGTCAAAAACAGAAAAACAAAAACAAGCTTCAGTTCTTCTGATGAAATAAAACAATTAGATGAATTGTTGAAAATGTCCACCTTGCGCCATGATACATCCATCGAAACTTCTTCTCAAAGATTGACGTACACGCTCAAAGATCACAACTGAAGTCTATTTTTGATTTTGTGACTTTGACTTTGACTTTGTCACTTTGTTTACGGTTGTGCGAATGGTAACTCACATGAAGCAAGACATAATTATGCAGGAAGATATCTCCAACGCAATTTACCGTTTCGTCAAACATTTGCGAAACATTCATCTGTATTTCGGAAACTAAGCCGTTTAGGACCCATGTTTATATGGACTTTTTTACTTGAAATAAACCAAAGAATCGCTCTGTTGAGTATGGCAACATACTTAACTAACACCCTGTATATATCCATTTGAGAATCGAGTATCGCGTCATTCTATTTGTGGAAACTAAAGATTAGAGATCGCGTGCTTCGGGCAAGCAGAAATGTAATTACACAGATTAGTTCGTTTCTTGCATACACTCTGGATATTTACTCGTACCTTATTAGCTAATTAAGTTTGGAAAAGAGCGCGAAGAGAGCATTAAAATACCAGAAGGCGGTTTTACGCGAATTAAAGTACGTTTTTTCTAAAGATAAGTTTAACCAGGCGGTATTTCGTAGAAGTGAACTGAAGTTCAATTTGCATTTTGTTTTATTTGCGAACTATTAAACCGCGGATTCTCTCTCTCTCGCAGAGGGGAATAATCCTCTCGCTATCCGCTTAATGGGTGGACTGTCGACTCTTGATTCTTGATGCGTCGCCGCTGGCGCAGTTTTTACAAACTACTCTGCATTGGAAAATTTTAAATTAGCTTGTTGTTTCGCCGGGAAGTTTGAACGAACTTCGACAAGAAGCGGACGTAACTTTGTGGATGATTACACAGTTAGCGTCAGGATATATATATATATATATGTTTCTTTTTTCGTCTTCACTTTTCTTTTAAACAATAACGCTACGTCGAAGTTATATAAACCACATATGAATTCTCTCTTTATTAAGGCACTGATAGAAAATTGTTTGGTATTTGTGTACTATAATTGCACGATAAAATAATGGTGGTTAGGAGCTCTGTTTTTATTATTATTATTACTGCTAAAATGTTAATAATAATAATCTTATACGTATAATTCTTTCAGACATAAAAAAATTTTACCATAAATTATGATAATTTCTAATATTAATATACTAAAATATCAAAATACGAATGATAAATAAAACAAACATTTTTATTCATTAAATAAAATCGCAATTATAGCAAATATATCTATTTTCACTTATTATTTATGTGATAATAACAACTAAAACGTACATTAAGGAAAAACTAAATATTTTCAATGTGTGTAACTATTATTAATATAATTGACTATTGTATTGTTAAAACAACTGTAAATATATAGTTGCCTCAAAAGATAATTATAAGTTATAATTAAATTATGGTAATTTCAATCATTTTTTTCTCAGTGCGTGTTTTGAATTTATCTCTTTACCTATCTGTAGTGTATAGAGCAATACTATAAGATCGCAACGTTTAGTTAATTGTAGTACTATAGAATACATAGTTAATTATAATATTCTCTGTCTAAAGAGAAATTTATGGAATTTTAATTAATCTCAATATGAAAAATGATGTAGTGAAAAAACTAATCGTGCAGTAAAATTCCATTAATCTTATTAGCCGATGTGCCGTTAAAGTTCGGTAATTAAGAAATCGATCAATTCCGATGTTCATTTCTCAATGTCGCAACATTGTACATCTTATTTAATATTTCAACAATTTCTGTTGCAGTGATGGCGCATAAATACTGCGAGCTGAATGGCACGTGGTTTCGTCATCCTGAATCAAATCAAATATGGAGCAATTATACGACTTGTGTGAATCTACAGGATCTGAGCGTGAGCTATTTCTTAATGTATTTGCCTCTATTCGTGTATAAATTAAACTGACTATTAAAGTTTTCTCTTGCCTCGTAAAAGAGATGGAACATTTTCGCGAATATTGCAGCAATCGCGTAAGAGGGATCGCGACCTTTGAAGATATTTGAAAAATTCGATGGTTAAAACCATTGGACGGGAGAAGAACGAGCTTATCCCTCTGGGAAATAACATACAAGTCTTCACACGCAAGTCCCAGTTACATGCTCTCAGTCTCGTTGCGAGACATCGCCGTTCTGACACGGATTTGATTCCGCGTTATTCTGCCTGAAGGCTCACGATCGGCCAGCTCGTATATTTTCCAAGAGCTAATATCGTTTGAACGAACGGGACGCGATTGTTGAAATATTTGAAAGACACGCACGCTGCATCCGACAGGGAGGGTATTACTTATTTTGCATTGCAACGTTGCACAGAGGAACAATTTCAGCGATCACGCGACCTCGCAATCTGCCTTGCAACGGGCGATACGGCGCCTGTTACATTATTCGTTTGAGTATCAACCGATATTTCGGTCATTTCGAATAATGACATTATGGCGAGAGCGAGAAAGAGAGAGGTAAAAAAAAGTTTCTCGCGATTTATTTTTGAAGAATTGATTTCTCGTCTCTGCAACTGTCACGGCTCGGTGAAACGGATTTATGATGCGCGCACCGGAAATTTCAGTAAAAAGAGAACGCGAAGCATAGAAATGAAACAAGCAATGAAATTGTTCTGAATTTCCCAACTTCTATCAATACGCAAATCCTTTTAAACGTTATCCTTTTAACGTCCAGTATCTGTCGAAGTATTTCCGATGTACCGAAACCGTTTAAGCGGTAAAACGATTTATCCCTCGAGACAGATAGATTTTATAATGCGACCTGCGTGTCACTGGCTACGCTCTTTAGAGAGATTTTTTTGACATCGCTCTCTTACCAGATTAATGTCGAAAAGCAACGTGCTTTTGACGCGTACGAGACAGTACGATAATAGGATGAAGCGTTTCCCGCTTGCGAGAAGCCGCTTTTACGTAACACCATCCGTGTCAACCCTTCTCACATACTTGACGAGCCGCGCTCTATTCATTAGGACCAGCTTCATTTTGGTACCGATACACATAACGTGATCATCCTTTAGAATGTAGCCCGTCATAACCGCGCTCGAAGCGTCGAAGCCGCTTTCTCTCTCGGTGCATCCATCACGAATATCCATCGTGAAGGCATTCACTTCTAACACGCGTTGACGTGTCAACGTTGATACCCGTGTCTTTTTCGTCGTGACGCTGCTAAAATTGCGAACATAATGCCACGGAACTCGTTTTTAAATCCAATTCTTACAGCAATCCTTTTACTATCATAAGATGAAACGAAAACAGTTTCAAGGCACCGAGTAATAATGTTTGCGATAGGATGTGGAAAGCTTGAAAAAATTGAAAAGCGGTTTAATGATTTGATGGAACTATTAGTATCTATAAATAATAGGACAAGATATTTTTTTTTTTAAATTAATGGTTAACATAAATTTAGAAAAAAACTAAAAGAAAGAGATAGCAATACAGGGTGTTTCCAAATTAAATGGCAAAACTTCGGGAGCGTGTAGAGGAGTAAAAAACTAAGAAAAAAAGTCCTATAGACATATGCTCCTTTTTGCTTTGTTTCGCAGGAAATCACGAAAAAAGAAAAAAATATATTTAATTTATTATTTTAATTATTTTATTTATAAACTTTTTAATGAAGATTTTGTTCGAAATGTGCACCTCTTGCAGCAATACAA